AGAATATCCATAGACATAGAGTGATCCACACACAATATGATGTCCATGAAATCATTAGGTTACCTTGTCCCTTGCCTTACCAACATGAGGGTTTGTGACTCCTTGAACTAGTGCAAGATGTGGAAGTTGATTGCACTTGTCCTTGCCATAAAGATATGAGTGAAGAATGTTGGCGGAGTCACCCTCAAGAACTCTCTAGTTCTTATTCTTCGGGATCCACATCATCTTGATGGGAATCCTTGGAGTTGTAGTTGTACTTGATGAAGTAGAACTTGACGTAGTCTTGGGAATCCACTTGACCGAGACCTTAGGTGCTTCTTCAAATGCATCAATCTCTTCTTGAAGCTTATCCTTGCCTTTGTTCTTGTGGTCTTGTGGAGGAAGATCATCTTGAGCTTGTGTTCCCTTGAAGGAAGTAGGATCATAGTTCTATTGTTGAGGAACAAACTTCGTCTTGGGGTATTGATCTTCTTCCCACTCAACTCCATTGGCATTGAACTTTCGTTCAAAACCAACACCTTGATTCTTACGGTGTCTTCCTTGCTTGCGTACAATTTCCTCGAATTGCTTACTCCCGACAAGGCTCTTGTAAACACCTTTCTCTATAATTCCCTTCAATAAGCTATTTTCTTGCTCAAGTGTAACTTGGCTAAGAGAACCATTAGTGGAATCAATAGAACTACTAGAAGCAACAATATTGGATTTAACATTATTATTGTTACTACTAGAGGAAGTATCTTTCTTATACTTGTTACCAGACTTGACTTGAGGCATGTAAGTAGATAAGAGTAAACGCTTGGCAATGTAAGAAGAACTTTTCTTACAGAGATCATCATTGATTGCCTTTAAGAACTCATGCTCTTGCTCAAGATTGAGCTTTTCAAAGTGTAACTTCTCATGAGCCCTTAAAAGTTCTCGATGATCTTCGAAGATAGTTTCATGAGCCAACTTTAGAGTGTTTAGTTCTTTAGTTAGAAGCTCATTTTTCTCCTTATCATTGTCATTCATTTGATTAGCATGATTAATTGATGTTTCATCATAGTATTCATCACTAGAGTTGTCAACAAGTAAATCATCATCCACAAGCAAGTCTCTTCATCACTATCGAAATCAACATACTCAGGATGTGTTACCTTTGGACCTTTGGCCATGAAGCATCTTCCAATTCCTTCATTTGGTGAATCAAATATGTCGTAGGAGTTGGTTGACACAAGTGCTAGACCGGCAACACCTTCATCTTGAGTATGTCCAGAGTCGGAGTGATAGCTTCTCTCGGAGTGATTGTCGGAGTCGGAGCCGGATACCCATTCACCAACATGAGCTTGATGTCTTCGTTTTGTGTAGCTCCTTGATGACTTGTCCTTCCTTTCCGAATCCTTGCTTCTCCGTGAGGGTCTTCGTTCATAACGATCATCTCTACTCCTCCTTTCTCTTGGTGGTGATTCTTCTCTTTTGCTTCTTCTTTTTGGAGAATCTTCTCTTCTTTTGTAGGGTGTCGTACACTCATTTGAGTAGTGTCCAGGCCTCCCACAATTGTAGCAATTGCGCTCTCGACTAGAAGATCTTTTGTCATGATAAGACCTTGACTTGGAGCTTCTTTTTTTGCTTCTACTCTTGTAGAATTTGTTGAAGTTCTTCACCATTAACCTCAATTCTTCATTGAAGGTTTGTTTCTCACTTGATGATGTGGGGGCTTCACTTGAGGCTTTGTAAGCACCACTTGACTTGTTGTGAAGTTCCTCCTTATCCTTGAGTGACATCTCATGAGCAACAATTCTTCCAATGACTTCCGTTGGCTTGAGATTTTTGTAGTTTGGCATCATTTGGATCAATGTGCACACGGTATCATACTTTCTATCCAATGCTCTTAGGATCTTCTTGATGATGAATCTGTCGGTCATCTCTTCACTCCCTAAGCCGGCAATCTCATTTGTGATAAGTGCAGGCCTAGAGTACATTTCAGCGACACCTTCACCATCCTTCATTTTGAACTTGTCAAGCTGACTTTGGAGCACATCCAACTTGGATTCCTTGACGGATTTGGTACCTTCGTGCATATCAATCAAAGTATCCCAAATTTCCTTTGCATTCTCAAGACGGCTAATTTTGTTGAATTCTTCGGGCACAATCCGTTGAAGATTATATCACAAGCTTGAGCATTGTATTGCAGCATCTTCAATTCTTCCGCATTCGCTTCACGGTTCGGTTCTCTCCCATCAAAGAATTCACCTTGCTAGCCAATACAAATAATTGCCCAAACGGCGGGGTTATGTCCGAGAATATGCATTTTCATCTTATGCTTCCAACTAGCAAAATTAGTACCATCAAAGTAAGGACCTCTACGGTGATAATTTCCCTCGCTAGACGCCATACTCTCCTAGGTTGTGAAACCAAGGCTATGACCACCAAAAGCTATGGAAATCAAACCAAATGGAGACCAAAGCTCTGATACCACTTGTAGGACCTTGAAGTATGTCTAGAGGGGGGGGGGTGATTAGACTACTTGACCAATTAAAAACTTAACCTTTTCCCAATTTTAGAGTTTGGCAGATTTTAGCTATCTTAGGACAAGTCAAGCAATCATCACACAATTCAAGCAAGCATGCAAAGAGTATATAGGCAGCGGAAATTAAAGCATGCAACTTGCAAGAAAGTAAAGGGAAGGGTTTAGAGGATTCAAACGCAATTGGAGACACGGATATTTTTGGCATGGTTCCGATAGGTGGTGCTATCGTACATCCACGTTGATGGAGACTTCAACCCACGAAGGGTAACGGTTGCGCAAGTCCACAGAGGGTTCCACCCATGAAGGGTCCACGAAGAAGCAACTTTGTCTACCCCACCATGGTCGTCGCCCACGAAGGACTTGCCTCACTAGCGGTAGATCTTCACGAAGTAGGCGATCTCCTTGCCCTTACAAACTCCTTGGTTCAACTCCACAATCTTGTCGGAGGCTCCCAAGTGACACCTAGCCAATCTAGGAGACACCACTCTCCAAGAAGTAACAAATGGTGCGTTGATGATGAACTCCTTGCTCTTGTGCTTCAAATGATAGTCTCCCCAACACTCAACTCTCTCTCATAGGATTTGGATCTGGTGGAAAGAGGGTTTGAGTGGAAAGCAACTTGGGGAAGGCTAGAGATCAAGATTCATATGGTAGGAATGGAATATCTTGGCCTCAACACATGAGTAGGTAGTTCTCTCTAAGAAATGGTAAGTTGGAAGTGTAGGTTTAGTCTAATGGTTCTCTCCACGAATGAAGAGGAGGTGGAGGGGTATATATAGCCTCCACACAAAATCTAACCATTACACATAATTTACCAAACTCGGTGGGACCGATTCAACAGACTCGGTCGGACCGATTTAGTAAACCTAGTGACCGTTAGTGATTTTCGGTGGGACCGACATGCAACTCGGTGAGACCGATTCGGTTAGGGTTAGGGCATAACATAATCTCGGTAAGACCGATTACACAAACTCGGTGAAACCGATTTTGGTAATAAGCTTTCCAGAGAGTTGGTCAGGTAAACTCGGTGGGACCGATTTGCTCTTTTCGGTGAGACCGAAATGTTACAAAAGGGAAACAGAGAGTTTACAGTGCAATCTCGGTGGGACCGATCGCTCACTTCGGTTAGACCGAAACGTTACGAAGGGAAACAGAGAGATTACAATCCTATATCGATGAGACCGAGATCTCTATCGGTAGGACCGATTTGCTTAGGGTTTGTGGCAGTGGCTATGACTTTTGGAATCGGTGGCGCCGGATTGGAAGAATCAGTGTGACCGATTTTGGCTTTGGGTTTAGGTCATTTGTGGATGTGGGAAAGTAGCTGAGGGTTTTAGAACATATCACAAAGCACATGAAGCAAGAGGCTCATTAAGCAACACCTCATCCCTCCTTGATAGTATTGGCTTTTCCTATAGACTCAATGTGATCTTGGATCACTAAAATATAAAATGAAGAGTCTTGAGCCTTTGAGCTTGAGCCAATCCTTTGTCCTTAGTATTTTGAGGGATCCACTTTCATCATCTATGTCATGCCATTCATTGAGCTTTTCTGAAATAATAGTCTTGGAATAGCATTAGCTCAATGAGCTATATGTTGTTATGAATTACCAAAACCACCTAGGGGTAGTTGCACTTTCAACTTGTTAATGATTTACGTAAAACTATAGTAAAGACACTCTTTCCCCTCTCTCTCTCAAGGCGACATGAGAAAGCCTTCCTTCCCTTGATCTTCTCCGATGAACCCGTGGATTCGCCTCCCCTTCGCCTGCCGCTCCGGTAGCCGAGGGCGGGGAGGAGAATCCTGGTGTCTCGAGTCCCGCTAGTAGATAGGTAGGGTTTTAGTCCTCGCAGGGGCGTTGTTTGGATGGATGGCGGCGCTTCTTCTTTGAGTGAGTCTTCCGGGCTTCAATCCTCCCCAAATTCGTCCGTTGGTACGGATTAGACAGAGCTCCGGCGTAGATTCCTGCCAGCTTCTTGGGGGGCGAGGTTAAGGTTTCTCGCCATGCGTATGCAACGGCGATATTTGGTGCCAAGTTCTTCAAATCGATTCAAGGATTTTAAGGCGACGATTGCGGCTCCAAGGCACTGGTCTTTAGGGGCACGTGCATGAAGACTTCTCAGCTGTCATCGTCAAGGTCAAGCCGGCTCCAGTATGGGAGCGGCGACAACGACGCGTCGGCAACGGCAATGATCGTTCGGTGGTTCGTGGACCTCCATATAATTTTTATTACCTTTGAGGTGCTTTATACTTCCGGTGAATCTTTATAATAAATCTGATCTTTTAAAAAAATTATGATTTACTTAAAATTAAATCAATCGAAAAAGTGCTAATATATCCGGCAGAATTCAGTATAGACCTAGGAGCTCGCAACATAATACGAATTAAAGGTCCATTCAGAATTAGTAGAAAAATAAGATTTCACATATGCCTACGGAAAACCACCAGCAACTAATCAAGTCGACACCAAGATCTGCCGGAAGCAAAGCCGACAATGGCGAAGCCGAAGAAGTCCCGGAACTCCGCCCCAGATCCATCGGTCGCCGCCCAGCTCCCATGGCGTCCCTCAGCGCCGCCGCTCGCCACTTTCCTCCTTATCTCCTTCGCTGCCCTCCTTCTCCGCGCGCTTGTCTCCGTCGGACCCTACTCGGGTCAGGGCGCAGCACCCAAATTCGGCGACTACGAGGCTCAGCGGCACTGGATGGAGCTCACCCTCCACCTCCCCTCCTCCGACTGGTACCGCAACACCTCCGACAACGACCTCGCCTACTGGGGCCTCGACTACCCGCCCCTCTCCGCCTACCAGAGCCGGCTCCACGCCCACCTCATCAACGCCTCCCTCCCCGACGCTGTCGCCCTCCGATCCTCTCGCGGGTTCGAGTCCCAAGAATCGTACGCACATCTCTGGACTATCATTTACTACATGGCGTGGTGCGCAGAATCGTGTGTCTGTTTTAAGTCTCTGTGGTTTGTTTCCTGCAGGAAGTTGCTTATGCGGTGGACAGTACTCTCGTCTGATCTCATGGTGTTCTTCCCCGCGGCGTTATGGTTCGTGTGGGCGTACATGAAGGATGGGGTTGGCGGTAGTGGGGAGAGGCGTGAGGGGTGGACGTGGCTGCTCGCCATGGTTCTTCTCAACCCGTGTTTAGTATTAATCGACCACGGCCATTTTCAGGTGAGGATTATACTAGTGGTGTATGTGCATTGGAGCAGGACATTTGACTGCATTGCCCACACAATGAAGGATTGCCCTTTTGTTTCAGTATAACTGCATCAGTCTTGGGCTGACACTCGGAGCGATTGCTGGTATTCTGTCAAGGAACGAACTTGTTGCTGCTGCTCTCTTCAGTCTTGCAATTAACCATAAGCAGGTTCTTTCTTATCTGGAACAAAGATAAATATATCTGTTTTATTTCCGGGGAGGTGAAACTGCATTTACTCTTTAAAATTATTTCTTACTTTCAAGCTTCGTCAACAAACATGATGTAAGTCATAAATCTTAGAGATCTTTGCCTTTGCAAACCCCACAGATTCCCAAAGGGAGTTCCCGGGATGTATACTTGATCCCAACTTAACCCAAGCGACTGCTAGCATGAATGACTTTTTTTCGAGAGTACGCAAATTGCGTACCATAGCTTTATAGAAGAAGGGAATATCAAGTACGAGACCACTACCACTCGCTGCGAACAACAGACGTAGCATAACTCCACACACGGCTAGTCCAAGGACAGCCACCCACGACAACACAACAACAACGCAAAAGAGCCTACCCAAAACCAAAAACCTCGCCGCATCTCGACCGACGTCGGTCACCTCCGAAGAACAGCAGCTCCCTCCAAGCTTCCCTTATGAACGTACCATCCCCCATAAAGCCAAGAGGAGGTGGCAAGAGGATGGCAGGACTCGATCCGACCTAAGAAAGGCACCGTCTTGGAATCACCGGCGACGACCGTGCATTGCGCTGGGGAAGAACGATCAGGGTAACGGCAAACACCGGAGGAGCGCAACATAAACTCCAAGTCTCCCAGCACGATGCTCCCAACAGAGAGACGACGTCGAGAACGCTGCCATCGTGCCGATTCAGCGCCGAATCAAGGCTTTCGCCCGGAGACAACTGCCAATACCAAGCAAGAGAGGGACTTGGCGACACACTCGGCGATGCCTCTAGGGAGGGAAATAACACCCATGGGTGCCATCGCCGCCGGCCCGGCCAAAACCGGACTAGATTTTCATCCGTAATGCCGTGCCACTCCACTCCTCCGAGGTATTGGACAGTACCGTCCATGATGCCTCGCACCGCCGCCACCGCAGCAAATTGCGTCGAGGCTGCGCAGCCGTGGTCCTCTCCCACCCTTACTGCCGAGAGAACGCGACCCACACCACCATCAACCACAGACGAGGAGCAGCAGCATCCCACCAAGTCGTGCAAGGGCCAGATCCAACACTGCCGGCCTTCACCCACACCAGGGGACTGCCACAAGCATGGAGCTGACCCGTGCCTCCAGCCACACTCCTGCGCCAACTCCACCGGGGCATCACCGTGCGCTCCTCACACGGCGGCCAGCCGGCCACCCGCTGCCTGCTAAGATCCCTTCCTAGCAGGGCCTCCTCGGCGCCGCCACCACCATGGCTGAGCTCGCGCCGCCGCCACCAAGAGAGCCGGGCTCCACCTACCTCCGCCACCCTGCTGCGGCCCTGGATCTGCTGGCGTCGCCGCACTCCGCGTTCCCCGCCGTGAAAGTCCACCGCCACCATGGCCACCTTAGGGACGTCCCGCTCCGCGCGAAGGGGAGCCGTCCAGAGGGCGCAGCCAGCGCCTGCCGCCTTCGCCGGCCGGGCGCGGCCGCCACCGCCGGCGGCGGCAGCGGCAGCGGGGGAGGGGATCTGAGGTCTTGGGGGCTAGGGTTTGGGGAAGCCTCCGGAGCCGCACACGCGTGCGACCCGGGAGGGTGGGGAAAAAGCTGCTAGCATGAATGACAAAGTCCGTGATCACGAGTGGCAGTAGCATCAACAGTGAATGCCAGTAGTCGCAGACCTGTAAGAGACAATCCCAAAGTAATACAAATAGAGTAGGCTGTCACAAAAAGTGCATGCAGTGTTGGTACAATCCTTAGTACTCAACTTTTGAGGGCTACTTGCTGAATTTCCAACCAGCTCAAGCTGGCAGTATAATGGGCTGCTAGAGATGGAAATTGGGAGTGAGTCCATTATAATTGTGCCACTTACTTTGATGGGAAATAGAGTAAACCTGCTGAATCAGTTACAAGTCTTGCATGGATTTTTATCTACTACAGTTTCCTGCACTACTTCCATCAAACTAACCTGCGCCTCTCCCTGTTCATATAGAGCTTTTCAAATAAATTGTGATCCTATAAATTCATGGGTATATTTGATATCTTGCAGATGAGCATGTACTTTGCGCCAGCTTTTTTTGGGCATCTTCTTGGAAAATGCCTGAAGCGGAAGTATCCAATTGTTGAGATCATGAAACTTGGTTTTGTTGTACTGGGAACTTTTGCTCTTGTTTGGTGGCCTTATTTGCATTCTTATGAGGCTGCCATGCAGGTAATTGCTGCATATGTGATCTGGTTATTTTCTTGTTCAAGCAAACTAGTCTATACTGAAGAAATCTTGTTTAACTAAAATGTAGTGATCTCCTTACTGAGCTGGTCAATTCACCAAAATGAAGCTTACTCTATATATAATTGGCTCAGTTCACTAAACATGTTAACTCCACTGTCAGGTGATCTCTCGATTGGCTCCGTTTGAGAGAGGTATATATGAGGATTATGTTGCAAATTTCTGGTGTACCACCTCAGTTCTTATCAAGTGGAAGCGATTGTACGCAATAAAATCGCTGAAACTTATGAGTCTTTCTGCTACCATCCTGGCTTTCTTGCCTTCATTTATTCAGCAAGTCAAGTCACCAAGTAATCTTGGCTTCCTCTATTCTCTGTTGAACAGTTCGTTCTCTTTCTACCTATTCTCGTACCAAGGTATGTTCTACTGCTGGGTTGATACTCTTTTTTTTGCAAGTATATGTGATGTTTCTTTGATCTTCATGTTTCTTTGTTTTATAATTGCAGTGCATGAGAAATCAATTTTGCTTCCTCTTTTACCCGCAAGCCTTTTAGCATTACACGAACCTCACCTGCATGGATGGTTCACGTACTATGCACTTTTTTCGATGTACCCACTTATCTGCCGTGATCAGCTTCTTCTACAATATATAGCTGTTCTTGGATTATTCGTTCTTATTTACTACTCACCTGGTGGAAACTATGGAAAGGGGATGAAAATTTCGTCTGGAACAATGGCAGTTCTGAGCCTGCCATTGTTATGCTCGATCTTACTTCACACCATGTATCTGCAAATAGAGCCTCCAAAGAGGTATCCCTTCCTCTTTGATGCACTGATAATGTTCATCTGCTTCTCACAGTTTATTATTTTGACCCTGTACACAAATTATAAGCAATGGATGTTGGACTTCCACCCTAGACATGTAGGTAGCAAGAAGGACCTATGATTGGAAATTTTGACAGCTAATTTTACAGAAAATATTCATTGTACCATTGTAACGTTGAGTGTGTTCCTTCTGTAACGGAATTGATTCACTTTTTATGAAATGGATGAAATCTTTGCATGTGGAGCAGATACGAATAAATTTTATATGACCAATAAATTGTGTTTAAGAATTATCCTGTGTTCGGTTGTATGATAAAACCAGGTAGCAAAATGCAAGCTATGCGGCAGCGCCTTTAGCTTTTGCAGCAAATCTGATAGTATTATCCCTCAGGAAATACAACATAGGTAGGTGTCTTGTTACTTGTCGAGTCAGTGTGCCTGTTTAATTGCACTATCGGGGGAGAACTTAGGATTGGTAATCTGATCCAAATTCCTGACATAGAATTTGACTAGCAATGAAACATGTCAATTGTGCCGCAACAGTGTTTTTTTGTACATGTGCTACATAGAAATTGCTGTATCATAACATTATTTGTGAGATGTTTTCATGCAACAAATGTAGTGCGCTGAAAACATTTTTGTGTGTGATGAAACAAGAAGCATTCTTCCGTGCAATGAACTCGTCTGGCAAAAGTTAGGACCGATCTAGTACCATAAAAGGATTTCCCCCTATTAGCAGGGCAAGTAGTCATTCAGAAGTGTTTGTTTGGTGGCCCTGGCGGTGTTAGCCGTAAGTAACAACGTTTTGATTAGAACATGGCCATACAAAACCACTCTAATAAGAGAGTGTTAATGGTAAATCACATAGAATAAAAATTCTTGACATGTCGACATACTGTATTAGGCAAGCTACTTGGTGAGGAGGGAGGAAGAAAAGGTCCGGCCAGCATAGAATCCCTAGCAGAAACCAGCTACTTTGGTTGGACCTTTGACTGGAAAGAATATCCTCCGCTGTAGTCGTCGAATGAGTCTGTGCTCATGTCCTTGTCCTTCTTTGGGAGAGGATCGTTGTAAGGGTGGCGAGGAGCGGTTTTAGTGACGTCGAAGTCGGTCGCAGACGTGGAGGCGCTGCTGAGCCCCTCGTTCTGCAGCATCATCTCGATCTCCTTGACGACGTCGCTCATGGACGGTCGGGCGGCAGCGCCCTCCTCCACGCACCGGATGGCCAGCTGCACGAACTTGCTGAACGCGGCGAGATGGTTGGTGTTGATGATCCTGGAGTCTATCATGCCCCTGAGGCCGCAGAACTCGGCGTCGGCAGCGTCGAAAACCCTCTTGGCCTCCCTGACGATGTACTTGCCCTTCTCGATCGGCTGCCTGGCGATGATCAGCTCGAGCATGACCACGCCGAAGCTGTAGACGTCGCTCTTCTCCGTCAGTTGCTGGGACATGTAGTACTCGGGGTCCAGATAACCCTGCAGGCCAAGAACAAGTCACATTCACTGGAAGGGACATGTGCAACTGCAGAGATGGATCATGGATGCAACGAGTTTTACCAGCGTTCCTTTGACTTGGGTGCTGACGTGGCCCTTGTCGCTGTCGGACACTAATTTGGAGAGGCCGAAGTCGGCGACCTTGGCGGTGAGGTGCTCGTCCATGAGGATGTTGCTGGACTTGACGTCCCGGTGGATGATGGGCGGGTCGGCGAGCTCATGCAGGTAGGCGAGGCCGCGTGCCGCGCCCAGCGCCACCCGGAGGCGCTTCTTCCAGTCGAGATGGAGGCCGCTCTTCCCTGCAACCACGGGCGGAAGGTTGCTGGACTTGTACTTGACTTGATATGGTTATTTTTTTTGAAACAGATGACTTGATATGGTTATCAAGACGAGACGGGACGAGAAGGGTTACCGGTGAGGCTGTCGCGCAGCGTGCCGGCGGACATGTACTCGTAGACGAGCATCTGCTCGCCCTGCTCGAAGCAGAAGCCGACGAGGCCGACGAGGTTCTTGTGGTGCACCCGGGAGAGCAGCTCGATCTCGGTCTTGAACTCGTGCCCGCCCTGCATCGACCCTTGCTGCGCCCTCTTGATGGCGATGAACTGCCCGTTGGGCAGCATGCCCCTGTACACCTTGCCGTACCCTCCGTACCCCAGCTCGTTCGCCTCGGCGAAGTTGTTGGTGCTCCGCTTCAGCTCCTCGCACGAGAACCACCTCGCCCCTTTCAGCCGCGGCGCGCCGCCCCGCTCCTCGCTCCGAGCCCACGACGCTGCAGCCACCAGTTTCACTTCACTCCTCCGGTGAAGAAAATGCACAAGTTTATTTTAAGACAAGGCGTACCGAAAGGCCCCCCGAGCTCTTCCGTGGCCTTCTGCGCGCGCCGCCTCTGCATGAGCGCGTAGACGGCAGCTCCCACGAGCGCGATGAGCAGGACGCCGCAGCCAACCGCGATCCCGATGATGGCGCCCTTGCTCTTGGACGCCGGCCCGTTCCGATCTGCAAACCACACATCCCACCCACATGGTGGTATCTCACTCAGCCACATACGTACCTACTCAAAGGTTGAGCAAACAAGAGGTAGGTAAAAGGTAGTACTACTACTATCGTTGTTCGTTGGTGACCTGGGAAGGGGTACGGGGAGGCGATGAAGTAGTAGGGGCCGAACTCCTTGGGCGGCTTGAAGGTCTGGTTGCTGAGGTCGAAGCCGATGCGCATCACCTCGGTGCGGTTGAAGTAGGGGCCGCCGGAAGGGAAGAGCTTCACCTGGACCTGCATGTAGGAGTCGCTGTTGAAGAAGGGGTCCTGCAGGGCCACGGAGCCCGGGGAGAGCTCCAGCTTGGTCCACAGCTTGCTCTCCAGCTCCTGGAACGCTGTCCCGTTGCCCACGTCCGCGAAGAAGGGCGCGCGGAAGTACATCACCCCCTGGTACGGGTACGCGCACCCGCAGCTCTGCGGGCTCATGCTCTGCTCCGGCGGGCACGCCCCCGAGAAGCACTTCACCAGGCTCGTCGTGTACGCCGGCGAAGGCGCGTGCTGTGTCACGTTGCAGTACGCCGTGTTCGGCAGGTGGTTGCACACCGGGTTCCCGGCCAGCCTGAACGACGTAGCAGGAGTTTGTATAAGTGAGATGACAGCACTGCCGCCGTCTGGAAACCGGAACTGGACACTACTACTTGGTACTCACGCGAGGGTGCCGTTGTAGCTGGAGGTCACCGTGACGGAGGAGAAGTCGTTGTCCTTGAAGCTCACCATGCTCAGCTCGCTGCTGATGCTCCTCCCCAGGTCCAGGGTGCCATTGAACGCGTTGCCGTCCAGGATCCTGCAAAGAGGCCTTGTCAGATTCGCCACAAAGACCCACCAGTTCCACCATTTTTTGGTGCAAAAAAAATGCAGAAAAAGGTTTTCACGTGAGTTTACACTTGCTGCAGCTGCGGGCTGCTGAACAGCTTCATCGGCACCGTGCCGTAGAGTCTTCCGGATTGTATAATTCTTGGTTTGGCATCACAGGACAGTGTCAGATTTAGCCATCCGAGCATTATATACTGTGAAGTTGCAAAGTTACTTCAGGGGAACTTACAGAGCCGAGAGCTGTGGCAACTTCCAAAACCACTGCGGGCTCGGGGAAGGATCAAATGTGTTGTTGCTCAGATCGCTGCGGTGTAATTAGACCAGATGAATTACTATGAGATCAAGCCCGGTGGTTCGAACAAATTAGCAGCAGAAACCTTGTGCGCAGCCAATTGCTTAGTGCTTACACATAATTGAGAAGAGTCATCCCAGATAGATTGGGCAACGGTCCGTTAAGCTGGTTGTTGGCTAAGTTGCTGAAACATATATATGAAGATAATGTGCTATAGCTTTGTACTTGCACTTACTTACACAGTGTATCTTAGACAACTTACAGCTCGTTTACGTTGGTGAGGTTATTCAGGTTCGCCGGAACTGGTCCGGAGAGGGAATTTCTATCCAGCCGGCTGTCCAAACAAACATATAGAAGATTCATATCTGGCAGCTCATCGAACAAAATAAGAAGAATTGGGTAGAGTTTCGTTTGACAAGGACACTTACACAACTTCGAGTGTACTAACAAACCCAAGAGAGTCCGGGATGTCACCGGTGAATTTATTTCCATCAAAAAGCCTGCACCGAATATCTTATGGTGTCAGCACATGTTGCGAAGCAGGAGAAAGATGAACCTACAGACACAGAGGGCTTCAGGAACTCACAGATGAATCAGTGTCATCTCAGGGCTGAAGAGAGCGTCTGGGATGGGACCAGACAATTGGTTCTTATTGAAGTGGCTACAGATCATCAGAAACAGTACGGTTAGAGATACGTCCCACTTCTCATTTCTGCTTCAGAAATGATGATGACCGAAAAAAAAAGTCTTGTATAACCTACAAGTGTTTGGTTTTTGTAAGCTTGTCTAGACCCATTCCCCCGTTTGATGAGATTGGCAATGGGCCGGTCAGCTGATTGTCGGCGACATCAAACCAATAGAGGCTGGAGAGACTGCCCAAAGATGCTGGTATTTTTCCAGAGAACTGATTCGAGTTCAGAGCCCTGAAAGAGAGTTTGATCAATGTCACTCTTTTCCTGCAGAAACTGAAGCACAGAGGCACAATTGTGCACCATCATCTGTGTTGATGATTCCTGCACCAGCGAGTAATATCTTACATGTAAGATAGTTTTGGAAGACTCCCTAGCTCATCAGGGATGTTGCCATGAAAGCTGCAACCTGCCAGAATCCTTGAAACAAGGCGGTACAAGTACAAGACATGAGCATAGTGACGTATAACCTAACCGAAAACAAGAAGACCGAGCACGTTTAGAGACTTACAAGGTTGCAAGCTGCTTCAAATTACCGATGGTCGGAGTGAGCACACCTCCAAGGTCATTGTTGAAGGACAGGTCCCTGCATACACATAGCATGGCTCAGTAATGCAAGCAGAGCTGCAAGAAGAGGGATTATGTTCAAGAAAAGGTTTAGCTTGACACTCTAGTGCTCTGATGCTGCTACATACAGGGATTGCAGCTCGGTCAGCTGCCCGATGTCAGCGGCTAGAACTCCTTTGATGCCCATGGTTGACACTTTTCTGAAAGACACGGTTGTATAATAGTGGTAAGTTTTGTGGACTTGGCACTTTGGCGGAGCTTGCAGTGAAATTCTTTTTGAGCTTTGCCGACACTTACATGGAGATCACCCTGTTGTTGCTGCATGTCACTCCGTCCCATGGCGAATCGCCGCAGGGATCATCGGACTGTCCCCACGTCGGTGGCGAGTTCTGCCACTGATCCATTAACGCTCGGAGAACAGAAGCTGCGATCGACTCCAAGGTAGCAGAGTTATCACACGTGAATTATACTAGTTGGGTAAAGAAAGAGTATAAAGTAACTCAAAATTCTTGTCTCACCATCGATGTTTTGTATTCCCTCTGTAAACGCTCTTATATTAGTTTACGGAGGGAGTACTTGTGAAACTAAGCAAGAATGGATGAGTGAGGGTACTCACTGTCCTGGCTGTCCGTGAGTCCATGGCTTGCTGGCACGCACACCGAGAGCAGCAAAGCCAGAGCGAGAAGCACCCCTCTCAGACCCATCCTCGCACAGCCACCAGCTTCCTCCATGCACGCACGGACGCAAGAAGTGAGCCGATCGAGCTCGCAGGGGGGCGAGGTGCGGTTTTAGGTGGTCAGCAAAAGCTGTGGAGCGCAAGGCAACCACCGGCACCACAACCGCAGCCCATGATGCGGCTCATGATGGGACGTGCATTCACCAAGCTAAAATGATAGGATCCTGCAAGCTCTGGAGAGAAAGATACAGGCGCGAGAGGTGGTGCCAAATGCCAACGACTTGACTTGAAAGCAAGCCAAACCTCAAGCTCCCACTGCCCCAGCAATCCCTCGGTGGCTGGCTGTAGCTGAGCACGCCGATACCGGTCGCCCCCGTACGTCTCGCTGTCCGCGGAAGGCACCGATCGAGCGGTCAAAAGGGCGGGAGGATACGGCCTCGCCAACGTGACCCTTGCTCTACGGCAACTCCTCCCCACCTCAATCTTGAGTTCAGTCGGTACGAGTGCACTAGTGACTAGTGTGCTGGTCTTTCATGTCATGCTCATGGTGCTGCTTCAAAAGTCTGTTTTTCATTGGGGTTTAAAGGAGTTTAGTGATGATTAGGGGTGCGATTCAAGGCACGTAAAGAGGGAAATTTGGTGGGGATTAAACTAATGATGCCCATGATTGACCTTCTTTATCAGCCACTTTTGCAATGGAGAGAATGTTCTTTGAGTTATATAGCTTATTATATTTTGGACTATGCTGCCAGGGCATGGCTTAATTAGAGCAGGCTTAAGGAGAAGGTCGTCACAAGAGATAATAGGACCGTGTCTCACTCATGTTAATCTGTGGTCGGCAGTGAAGTGAAAGCGAAGCCGACGCTGTCCGCGGAAGGCAGTGCATGGTTGAATGTCCTCACAAATGAAGGAAGATAAACTGAGCTTGATCTCACATGTTTTTCCATGATCTTTCTTGCGTTCAGTTGAGGTAATTAACTCTGACAAGTGGCTAATTTGTAAAC